AAGGACAGCCTGGTTTATGCTCACTGTCTGTCTTACAACAGGGAGTGGGAGGAGGAACACGCACACACGGCCGCATAAATAACGCGGCACAGGCACAGAGTTACGGTGCGACTTACGTGTAAACGAATAGAGCGAGACGGACAGACGGGGAACGAGGACGGGCGTACGGGTTGTAAAACAAGAACGACGAAGACGAAAGAGGATGTAGTCGGCGGACATTTACGAAGAGAACCGAGTATCCCCGACATGTGGGAGAGCCTCGTAGTACACAGAGGGGTATCGGTTTTACGACGTTCGATCACCTGAACGAAGATTTTTCAAGCACCGTGAAGCAAAGAGAGAATACGAACGAGCGAGATCGTCACTCGCTTCGATATCCTTCAATGAATAAACCGTCCTCTCCGAACGTGTTCCATCCTTTCTGCGTAGAATAAAACGCGTTTGCGAAAATCCGCGCGGATCCTCGTATCGCGTGGTGTGTCGTTACTTCCGCGATCGGTTACGATTTTTATTTATCAATTTTTCTTCTCCCCTTTTGTATTTAATCGTCGGTTCGGCGTACGTCGAAAAATTTCGAATTTTATAAATTCGAGCGATACGATCGATCGTCGAAACGAAAAGAGAAAAGAAAAGAAAGGAAAAGAAAAAAGAAAAAGAGAAAGAAGAAAAAGGAGGAAAATAGGAGGAAAAAAGGGATTTAGACGATGAAGATGGAACGTACGGATGAAATAGGTAAAAGAAAATGGAGGGCGAGCGTGGTAGATGAGACGCGGCACACGTGTACGAAAGTTGGCGAAAAGTACGTGGGACCTGGGTGAACAGAAGCAGCCCTGGTCGCACAACGCACAATACGAGCATGAATGAAGTATCGCGTCTGGCTCGCGGGGTACGGTATACTCGGACGAAGCAGGGCGAAGCGACGAGGGGGATCTCAGGCGTCACGGTGCTTTCGTGGCGGTGAGGTTGCCGCGACGCGTGTGTGCGCGTTTACGTGTAAACGATCACGCGCGTATGAGTGAACGCGCGCATATGCAACTTTCGGTATGATGGAGTGCGCATGCGCATCGCGCGCACCCCACCCACAGACAGACAGGCCGCTGCTCCGCTGTTTGTAACAAGCAGAGAGTCTAGAACGCCACACTAGCGTCGAGCGCAGCCGGCCTCGGCTCCAAACGAGACACGATTATACTCCTGCTGCGAAAACGAACGGTATATACACGGTATTGAGGGAAAAAAAACCGACGATACTGGAACGACGACGACGACGACGACGACGACGACGACGACAACGACGACCGTGTTCGTTCGACTCGACCAAAGACTCTGGCGAGAGAAAGAGGAAAGCGAGATTTCCAGTCCTCTCTCGGCCTTTCCGCTCGAGAATCGCGCGTCGGTGGTGTCACGAACGCGCGTCTCCGTTCACGATCGGCCTCGCTGGTTCCGATGGTATACGCGGGCCGATATTCCACGGGAACGTAAACGCGTATACCGTAGACGAAATTCGAAACTGAATGCGATCGATAGTGACGAAACGAGGAGAACCGATGGATACTCGGAGGCTCGAAGATCGATTCGACTGTCGACCGGCACGGGGCTACGGGCGAACGTGAAAAAAGTTGGAAGGAAGAGAGGTTAGAAAAGACGACGACGACGACGACGACGACGACAAGGCGAAGGAAGAGGAGAGATCGTGTCGTGTACGTGATCGCGAAGCCTGGAGGAATACGTGGTTGTTGGAAGCAAAAAGGGAAAAAAGTGCGGAGGAAAGAGAGAATAAAAGAAGAAGAAGAAGAAGAGGGAGCAAGAGGAAAAAGGCGAGAAAATAGAGAAGGTGTCGAGTGGTGGGCCTGCGGGCCGGACAGTACGTGCCTGGGCTGCGCTCGCACGATCTACACCGGCATGGCCGCCGAGGCCAGCTGAACTTTTTCTTCTCTCTCTTGCACGACGATCGTTGCTCCCACCCACTTTATTCGTCTTTCTTCCTCCCTTCCTTCTTTCCTGCCTCTTTTCTCTCTCTCTTTCTCCCTCTGTCCCTCTCCGTCTTCGTTCACGCTTCCCCCACTCCCGCGCCGCTGTCTCGTCGTTTCGTCTCCTTTTTTCTTCCGCCCGTCCCACTCGTTCCTACTCTCTTTCTCTCCCGGTCTTTGCTTAACGCGAGAGAGGACCGTGCGCCACGAATACCCAGGCTCCTCGTGTATACGTGTTCGCCTGTCCTATGTGCGCGCGTGTGTATGTGTGTGTGTGCGCGCAGTTTGCCAGCCATCGCGGGGAAATCGAGCGGAGGCTTGCCATTCGAGAAAACCAGTGAACGCGAGCGAACCCCTTACGCTGCTCCGCTACTTAACCACGGACACACGCGTCACATCTATCGCAGCAGTGGTCTCTCTGGCTGCTTCCGACGACGAGCATCGTCATCGTGGTCGTGTCCTCATCATCGGCATCGGCATCATCGTCGTCGTCGCAGCGTGCATGTGTGATTCGTCGGAAAAAGTTGTCTTATTCGAGACGAAGATCGATTTTCTCTGTTCGCGGGAACGATCGCGGCAAGTAACGTGTGACGGAACGGCGGGGAGCAGCACGAGTGTGTGCGCGAAAGAGAGAAAGACGGTTCGCGTATATCGATATCGGTGACGTTTGGTGGACGGACACACGCAGAGAAAGAGAAAGAGAAAGAGAAAGAGAAAGATAGCGAGATAGAGGGAGGGAGAGAGACAGAGAAGGTGAAGAGGAGCAGCAGCAGCAGCAGCAGCACGGTACTAGCTAGCAGCCAGCAGAAGCAGAAGCAGAGACCTGTTAACGACCAGAACGTGTATAGAGTAGCATGGAGGATACCGTGTAGTAGTAATACCAGTAGCGGTAGTAGTATAGTAATCTGCTGCGCGTTGGACGGACGACGGGACACGACGGGACACGGAAGAGAGGAGAGACAGAGGGAATAATAGTGGACGAGGATCGGCGCCGTGTCGGCGAAACGGTAAAATCCCCGCTGCCGCGGTGTCAGTCAGTCGTGGTCGTTGGAAGGACGGGGCGACGCGATCGATCGTGACGCACCTGTCGGCATCGTCGTCGTCGGGGTGCTCGCTGGCTGTGCCAGTGGCAGAGAGTGTGTGGCAGTGTCTCGTGCGCCGGCAGGAGGAGACGGAAGAATAACGGAGGGCAGAATAAAGGGCAGGCATCCAGCTCGGTGAAGTTTACGCACGAGGACGTACGCAAGAGAGAAGAGAGAGAGAGAGAGAGTCACACACACGGAGGGAAGAAGCAGCGTTCGGAAGGAAGAGGAAAGAAGGATGCGCGAGAAGGAGAACGTCGGTGAGGACCTCCTACTCGTTGCTTTTCCACGGCGAGCAGCAGTACTGTTGTTCGAGGTGCGAGCCGCGTGACACGAATGCGAGAGTGCGAGAGAAAGGAGAGGCAGGAACGAGGGGGAGAGAGAGAGAGAGGAAGGAGATCTACCCAACAGCGAAGGCATATCCGGCCGTGGCATGTGCGCGCGACAAGGACAGAGCGAAGTGGCTATTTCTGTGGAGCATAGGGGGCCGCCCGTATAAAATAAGCAGTGAATGAAGGAGCTGTTTACTGGCAGACAGCCTACGCGAGATTCAGTCGTCGGCTCTCTTTCTCTCGCGCTCTCTCTCTCGGCCGCGCACGCTAATCGTCGTTCCCTTGCGCCTTCTCTCTCGCTGCTTTTCGCTCTCGCTCTCGCTCTCGCTCCGGCAAGCGTCCCGTAGCGGAAAGAGAAAGGGAAAAAGAAAGAAAGAAAGAGAGAGAGAAAGAGAGAGACGGACAAGCGCGCATCGTTGTCACGAGAGAGAACCCGTGCTGCGTGTTCCCAGTGCGCGAGAAGAGAGCACGCGGAGTATTCACCGGTCTTGTCCTTCTGTCTCGCCTCGTCTCGACTCGCTCCGACTCGCCTCGTCTCGTCTTGCCTCCCCCTCCTCTTACCTCACCACACCTCGTTCTACCTCTCTCCTCGCCACGCTTCGCCTCGTCGCACCTTGCTTCTCCGTCCATTCTCCGCCCTTTGCCTCGCTTCGTCTCGCTTCAGCTCCCCTCTCCTCGCGTCGTGAAACCTCGCCATACCTCACCTCACTTCGCCCCGCCTCTCCTCGCCGCGCCTCACCTTGCCCGCCTCCCCTCACTTCCCCTCACCACGCCTTACCTCGCCTCGCCTCACCTTACCGCACCTTACCGCGCCTCACCTCACCTCCCCACGTCCCGGTTTGCCTTACCTCGCATCGCCTCGCGTCGCCTCGCCTCAGTTCGCCTCGTCTCACTTCGTCTCGCCTCGCCACTACTCGACTCGACTCGCCTCGACTCGGTTCTCGTCTCCTCTTCCCGTGCTTGTGTTTTTCTCGACGGAGCTCTTACGCCGGAGCCACCGTGCCGCCGCGTTCGCCGCTTTCGTTCCTAACCACGGAAATCTACCGATAATCCGTACCTCTCGCGAGTTTCTTGTTCCTCTGTTACGTTTCACCGCGCTATGCCATTACACCTATATATCCCTACTGGAGCATGTGTTTACGTGTGTGACGTGACTAGTGCGAAGCAAGAGAAGTGAAGAGCTAGAACGAAAACGAGAAAGAAAAGAGTGAGACCGAAGGAGAGACACGGAGAGTAAGAGAAAGAGCGCAAGTGAGAGAGAAAGAGAGAGAGAAAGAGAGAGAGTGTGAGAGAGAGAGAGGAGAGATAAGAGAAGAGAGGAGCCCGGCGAATTTTTTCGAAATCTCGCGGTACGCGCATATCGCTGTCTTTCTTTCTCCTCATTCTTCCCCCTCCCTTTTCGGACGCAGACCGCGTGTTGTGTGCTCGCGGAGATTCGACGACGCGAAAACAGTGAGAGACCGCGAAGGAGAGAGAGAAAGGGAGAGAGAGAGAGAGAGAAATAAACGGGAGTCATCGGCTCGCTCCTCCGATGAGTTCGTGCTCGAACACGTGCCGCGGAGACCGAAGCGAAGGATAAAGCTAAAGAGGGTTCGCGGTTCGGTGAAGGATACAGGTGAAACGGAAGTGCCGAAAGTGTGGATACCTTGGACTACGAACCGCCCCCGGTGCTGCCACCGCGGCGCCCGCCCTGGCCGTTCAACAGCCCGAGCAGCACCGCCTCGAGGTACATCGGGCAGCGCACCAGCACCACCATCGCCACCACGTCCCCGTTGACATCGACGGCGGCTACGACGACTACCACGTCGACGACGTCACTGACAACGACGCTAGTACCGGCGCCGTCCGCCTCCCAAGGCTCAACGACCTCCTCGTCTGCGCGAGTGTCGCCGCAGCCGCCACCCTTGACGCCGCCCCAGTATCCTGCGCCTCCACGGCCCCCTAGTCGAAACGGTGAGTCTTTACCCTTTTACTCTTACCTATCCCGTCGTTTTCTTCGTCTTACGAATATATACGCAAATTTTTCAATCTACTTTTCCCGACTAGCTGTGCAAGTTAGAGGTTAGGTCGCGTCACGTATTTAACCCCTTGCACTAGGATTTAATTGCGGAAGTATACACTGAAATGGTATTTCATTTTAGATAACTACTCAGATATACCAATTTTAGAAATTTTTCGAATTTTGTACGCCTTAAACCGTGCGGAATATGATTATGGCCGCGTAATTAGTATAGCTTGTAATTGTGAGATTCGAGAGGAAGAACTCGTGGCGAGTTAGACTCGTCATCGTAGTGCAAAGGGTTAAGGCTACGTCCCGCGTTATATATACCACCTGATACGCGCTGAAGTTCGAATTTCGCGCCACAAAAATGGCTACGCTCGGAACGTGTTAACCCTTACGCTGTGATTTAATTACCAGGACTATGCGTTGCGAAATTATTTAATTTTAATTAACCACTATACGCTTACCTTATTGGGGACAAAATTGTGAAGATTTTCAGGGTTTAATTAAATTTCGCGCATGTTAAAATCCACGAAATATAATTTTGGTCTAATAGGTTAACCTCTTTCGCTGTGATTTACTTTTATGCGAAGATTTTATCCTTCGGATTGTTTAATTTTTTTATAGAACCGTGCTTATGGTTGTTATAGGAAAATCTAAAATATTTCGATTTTGATAGTATGAGTGTGAGATAGTGTAGAGTTTATTTCTCGTTCGTTTTTATCCTCTTTACAAAATCAAAATGGTAGATATAGGTTCATTTCTGTTGACCTAACAATAAATTCCATAGATGCCGTAAGCATCACGTATAACATAATTATCATAGGTACCATAGTTACACTAAATACCATAATTATCATAGGTGTCATAAGTACCATAAATACCATAATTACTATAACTACCATAATTATAATAGGTATAATAGGTATCATACATACGATAGGTTCACAAGTACCATAGATATCACAGTTTCCATAGACACTACAATCACCACAGGTACCATAGGTACTATACATACCATAATTACTACAATAGGTACAATAATTACGGTACCATATGTCTCCTAAATTCATGGGTATCATAGATATCACAGTTTCCATAGACACTACAATCACCACAGGTACCATAGGTACTATACATACCATAATTACTACAATAGGTACAATAATTACGGTACCATATGTCTCCTAAATTCATGGATATCATAGATATCACAGTTTCCATAGACACTACAATCACCACAGGTACCATAGGTACCATAGATATCACAGTTACCATAGACACTATAATCACGACAGGTACCATAGGTATACTATACATACATACATGCTATACATACCATCAGTATGAAAAATACCATAATTACTACAATAATTACAATAATTACGGTACCATAAGTCTCCTAAGTTCATAGGTACCATAGATAGGTATCGCAATAGGTATATATCACAAATAGCATAAATACCACAGGTATGACAGACACCACGGATCCTTGATCCTTCCAATCGTGTCTTTCTCTTCACCCAGTTAAAGTTCACTCCGAGAGCCCAATACCTTAGCAGATCTCTCGAAGCAAGCGCGCAAAAGGTGCCGCGATCTCCGTTTCTGCAACACGCACCGGCGTTCGTCCAGAAAACGCAACGTTTAGCCCGGATCTAGCCGAGGCGGTGCTCGCCTGTTTCCGTGCGATCGGCGATCGGCGATCGGGAGCAAGCGAGGTCGCACGATTTCTTCGTGGCAATTTCATCGGCGATCGGAGCGAGCGAGCGTGACTCGCCGCGGATTGAGTCACATTACGCTTTCATAGAGGCCGGCCCGAAGGCACGGGCCGAGTAGTGAATGAAATTTACTGGTGTAGAAAGTTTGCGAGAAAGTCGCGGCCACCTTTCCGTTCGTAACACCCGACACGTTCTACGTAGCCGCGTTTCCTCCTCCCGAGCATTCTGCCTCCGCTTCGTTGCTTTCCTCCCGGCCACGGGAATGCTGACCTCGTAGGCGGGTCGCGTATGCTTTCGTGAAAAGTATTCGCTTATTGTGACTACCTATCAATGCACTGGGCGTGAATGGTATTCACCGGTGAAATTTATCTGACCGACTCGAGTTCCCCGCTTAACGCGAAATGTACCAAACGTTCAAACGCTTAAACGTTTGCAAATTTTCTACCAAATACTCTCCTAACCTAGCCTGAACAGGAGCGTTTTCGAATTTTTTATTAAATTTTTCTAAATCTAATTATCTAGCACAGCATAAATAAGCGTTTTAGAATTTTTGTTATTAAATTTTCGTAAACCTAACCTAAACTTAAACGACACCTAGCACAGCATAAATAAGCGTTTTAGAATTTTCGTTATTAAATTTTCGTAAACCTAACCTAAACTTAAACGACCGTTTCCAAATTTGTTATTAAAAATTCGACAAGTCTACCATAGCCTAAACACGTCGTTTTTCGAATTTTCTATTACATTTTTCTAAATCTAATTATCTAGCACAGCATAAATAAGCGTTTCAGAATTTTCGTTATTAAATTTCCGCAAACCTAACCTAAATTTAAACGACCGTTTCCAAATTTGTTATTAAAAATTCGACAAGACTACCACAGCCTAAACACGTCGTTTTTCGAATTTTTTATTACATTTTTTTAAATCTAATTATCTAGCACAGCATAAATAAGCGTTTCAGAGTTTTCGTTATTAAATTTCCGTAAACCTAACCTAAATTTAAACGACCGTTTCCAAATTTGTTATTAAAAATTCGTCAAGCCTATCACAGCCTAAACACGTCCATTTTTGAATTTTTTATTTAAAATTCTGCATTCAGTGTTATCATTTGCCCCTTTCGGTTTCTTCATATTTATCTTAGTGTAATAGTATGTATTATCAATTTCTCTCTCGAAGCTCTTCCTCTTTCATTCCTTCGTCCACTGCTTATATGACATGTCTTGTAAATAAATGATAATACACAGGCTGCAGCATTTCGATAGTGTCCGCGTTCAGGAAGTTGGATTTTTCTTTGGTAACACTTGGGAAAATGTCATTTATTATTCTTTCTCGGTACATAAATAATTATCTGTCCACCCTATATGTTGTTGTTATTATTATTATTGTCTTTCTACTTTTCTGACTATGTTTACGACCGTGTTTTCCACGAAAGACAGATTCTTTTCTCTTCGCGTATATCACAATGGATTCTTCCAGATAAATCACCGTTGTTATTATTATTGTTATTATTATTATTATTATATTGTCACGATGAAGATAACCGAGTGTTATATAATTTCGTTAAAAGTCGATATTAATTTTGCTAAGGCTAGCCGCGAAAATTGAAGCCGAGGAAATTGGGCACGTTTTGGGGACCAGTGATTTGGTAGTTTCTAGTATTATTTTAGCAAAGGTAACCTCGCATTCGAAGATTTTCACTATTTTTTAGTAATATTAACATAGGAAAATTTTGTCTAATTTAACGTGGAGCATAAGTCGAAACGGAATATAATTTTCCAGAGTAACGAATATTGCAAAGAATCGATATTATCATTGTTACTGTCGGTGTATATTATAGATACACATTGCACATGTAACAGCTGAGTAAATCTATGGTTAGCTCGGATACTCGTTCCCGACGAATCCGCAGCATCGGAGAGCCGTGGAAAGGGAAAGGCGTAGGTGTCGAGTGACTTTTGCGGAACGCGAAAATAAAAATCCGACTGGAAGTAAACACCGGGCTTTATCTCCGCGTTATCTCTACCGGAGTTGATTCGCGGACCTACGCTAACTGGATATTCTTTATCTGCACTCCTGATTATTCTACACCTCCGTTCGCGTTACCGTCTTTCCTCCTAGATCGCGAACACGCGTACTCGTTGCGTCCACGTTCGCGTTGGCGATTTATCAAAGCCGATTCGTCGATTGAAAACCCGCAGAGCGTAATTGAATTAGTCTCATTGCCAGTTTCCTCTCTCTTCGTGCGGAATACGATCGGCGTACGAGCGCATGCGCAGGACGCGCATTCACACCAACACAGCCGCGTCATTCGCTTCGAATGGCAATAGGAATGAATGCCGCACGGTTTGACGTACCTGCCGAGCTGCTGCGCATGCGCAACAGTTCGCGTGCAAGTCGCACCGTAAGTTTCTCGCGTATAAATATGCCGATTTATCGGGTGCTCCGAGAATCTCGCGGATCTGCCGACCACTTAGGTCACTCGACTTTTCCTCCTCTCTTTTACATATTTCTAGACTTTTCTTCGTCTTTTCTACATATTTCTAGATTCTTCTCAACTTTTCTATGTAATTCTCGTCTTTTCTCCATATTTCTTGACTTTTCCTCATTTTTTCTCCATATTTCTCGACTTTTCCTCATCTTTTCTCCATATGTCTCGACTTTTGTTCATATTTTCTACATATTTCTTGCGTTTTCCTCATCTTTTCTACATAATTCTCGTCTTTTTCATCATTTCTTGCCCATTTTTCATATTTTTTACCTTTTTCTCCATATTTCTCGGTATTTTTCAACTTTCTTTTCACCGATTCGACGAGTACTCTTCCGGAAAATTCGTGAAGTGATCATGGAGGTGCACGCTGTATCCGAAAATCGAGCTCGAGAGACTACGATCGGTATCTGCGCGGAGGTTCGATCGATCGGCTTAGTCAGAACACTGGGATATAAGATCTGACACGTAACTTTGATATCCGATCGAAGATTAGATATCCGCCATATATCGAGTAGGTGGTGTACTCTTACCGCGAAATCTGCAGCCGCGAGTGAGGCCGATCGCTGGATTTCTATCGGAATCGACCCTTGCCGATTTTACCGATTTTGCAGATTTTGCTGATTTTCCTGGAGACATGGAAAGTACTCAGTCATCTTCTATTTGTTCTCATGGAATCGATATTTCTTGGTCAACAACGTCCTGGTGTATGATCAGACCAGGACCGAAGCATCACACCTTGCACCGA